CAGTGCGGAGCGCCCATCCCGCCCAACGCGGCCAACATGTGCGTGGGCTGCCTGCGGGCACGCGTGGACATCACCGAGGGCATCCCCAGGCAGGGCAGCCTGCAGTTCTGCAAGCAGTGCGAGAGGTGAGCGGGGCCCCTCTCCTCGCAGGCAGCTCCCCCAGCCCTCTCACGGCCCGGTTGGCTCATCCCTCGGGCAGAGAAGCCGCGGGGAGACCTTGTTGCCGCGTCCTGGTGCCGTCGGGGTGGCTGCCGAGGAGATGGAGACCCCCCCTTTTTTTTGGGAGGAGGCCCGTGGAAAAGCTTTGGGGGGGACACAGTGCTGGGGAGATCCCTGTTGGACACAGACAGACAGACAGACACTGTGAGGGTGTCCCCGGGGAAGTGGTGGGTTCGGGTAAGGCTCAGCAGGGTGCTGGGCTGTCACCTCTATAGGACGTGCCCACCATCATCCTTGAGGTCCTTTCCAGCATTCTGTGGGGTTTCCCAGCACGTTCCTGCAGTTCTTTTCTTGGTGGAAGTAGAAAGGTGTTGGGGTGTGGGGTCTAGGTTATCTAAGTGAGTGGATCTGTGGTCCTTGGAGGGCAAATAAGTAGGCAAATGATGAAGGGTGGCACTGGGGATGCACGAATATGAATGTTTCAGGAGGCAAAAGTTGTGGCTGCATGTTTGATGTGGAAGCTGCAGGCTTGGTAAATAGCTGCTCAGCTTCTGAGGGATTTAATTGGCAGAAGCAGCTCCGTGTACTGTAAAATGCTCCCTGTACTGTAAAATGCTCCCTGTATCCTAGGTATCTCCAGCCCCCAGGAACCTGGATTCAGTGCACCTTAGAATCAAGAAAGCTTCTTGCCCTGTGCCTTAAAAAAATCAAAGCCTCTCTGAGCAAGGTGAGTAGCTAATTCTGTTGAGATTCCATAGGGACTTGGTATTGGTATTGCATAAAATGAAGCCCTGCTAACTTCCACAGGGTTTGATCCTTCCAGAACAACCACTCATGCTTGTGTAAGGCTCATTAATTGATTGTATTGAGCACAGAGAATGACAGTCTGATTTCATGTCACTCTGTACTAGAATTTTGAGGGTTCAGTAAGGGCAGGTTCTAAAAGAAAATTTGCAAGCATAGTGAGGAGGCTGTTGGTGCAATTCTGTGGCTACAAAGCATCCAGTGTGCTGCATAACTGTCACTGTATAGGTGGGAGTTAAGTCTAATTAATTACTATTCATAATAATTAACTGAAGGAATATAACACATTTTAAGGCATCCTAATTTTACAGTTTTCTTTTTCCTTCTTTTTAAAGTTGTGTATGCAATGCCTGTTCTTACTGTTTACTATCACATAAAAAAGAGTTGCAGGGTTTTGTAGATAGACTAAATTATAAGTCACATGTTTACATTAATAAAGTATCTCTTAGTCTCAGGATCTTAGGAGAGGAAAAAACCTGAGATCATGTTTTAGACCAAAAAAAAAAGGTTTTGTTACTGCACAGATCAGGGTTTGAATGAGATTGCCTTGTTGAGTCTCTTGCTGTTAAGTCTAGTATTTACATACACAAAAGGTCTTTTTCTGCAGGAAATTTGCACGTTTCTTCGTTTTAGAGATTAAATTGGCTTTTAAGTCCTGAAGTCCATTATACTCTCCAGCTTGATCATGACAAGGCAACCAGAGATACTGTTGAGCAGTCTTGTGTATATGACAGCCCGTGGGGTTCCATCTCCAGTATTTTAGGTAGATCAGACTCTGCCTTCTAACTGATTAATTGGTCTTGCTATACTGATACCTTTTTAATTAAGGTTATTCCTGACGTGGTTGGGGAGCAATGAACTCTACCATAAGCTTGTGTTTTCTGGAAGTCAAAGCTGCATGTTTTTCACATGTATGAGCAGTTGCTGAGTCCTTCTCTCCCACTGGCAGGTCCGGCTGGTCGATGCAGGCTTTATTTGGACTGAACCCCATTCTAAGAGGCTGAAGCTGAAACTGACTGTTCAGAAAGAGGTAACTGGAGTATAAGGATTCTGCATGCAGCCTTTAAAAAGTTTTTATGGCAAATAGTATTATTGTATTTAATTTATTACTATTACATTTTAGAGAAGTGATTTTCTTTGGTAAAGTCCAGCGTGTGTTTCTTGGCTTATCTTGAAAGAGCATTGATTTTATCCTGCCTAAATTCTGCCATTAAAGTGCCACTTATCACAGATTGAAGAAGGTTATTGGCTGCTCTAGTGAAGTTGGGAAAATACTTGCAATATTTGTGACCCAAATATAAATGTCTGTTACAAAGTGTGGTATAGAAGTTATTTCAGAATGTTGGGGTGAACCAGCTTGCTGTGTGGGCAGGACTAACAACCTTTTGTTTTTCAGGTGATGAATGGAGCAGTTCTTCAGCAAGTGTTTGTGGTGGAGTATATAGTCCAGTCTCAAATGTGTGAAGACTGTCATAGGATTGAAGCCAAAGATTTCTGGAAAGCTGTAGTGCAAGTCAGACAAAAGGTAGAGGCAAACTGAATGTTCATTTGATCTTGGCAGAACATTCAAATGGACAAATCTTTGAATGGATTGTTGATTTTCTCAATGAAAGCTAAAATCACACTTGCACACTGCCACAGGAATATGTGTTCACGTTGGGTTCTTTTCTTACTGATCATTTAGTTTAGAAAAACTTCCTACTCTCTGGTATTATTCTTTTTAAGTAGTGGGTGGCAGGAGGATCTTCTGTGAATTACTAAATGTCCTTCTGTATTTTAAGGCAGTACTAGAAATGCTGGCACAGATTTCTTTTTATATATGTTTAAATCTTCTTTAAAGAAGATGACATCTTCAGTAGTTACACAAAAATGAAAAACAAGCTTTACTAAGTTGGTATAAAGGAAGCTCATCTCTGAAATCTTCTTGGTTACTTGAAATAGACTTTGGACTGTTACTTCTCTAGATAATCTCTTCCTATAAATATTTATTCTGCATTTGCACTAGATGATTCTTGAATGACCTTGATAATCTTATCTTTGGTTTTAGACTCTGCACAAGAAGACTTTCTACTATTTGGAGCAGCTGATTTTAAAACACAGGCTTCATCAAAATACACTTCGCATCAAAGAAATCCATGGTAAGTGAGGGGGCTTCTAATCTTGAAGTGGAACAGGCTAACCTGTTCCATAGTGGAAGATGCAGCTTTGTTCAGGTGAACAGCAGATTACTTAGCCTGTGTATTGTATTTGAAAAGAAACATAGTATTTGAGAGAGATTTGTTCATCTAGCTTTCTTTTCTTTAAGATGGCCTGGATTTTTACTATTCTTCAAAGCAGCAGGCCCAGAAGATGGTAGACTTCCTTCAGTGTACAGTTCCATCTAGGTATACCATTTATGTCTGTTGCCTTGAATATCCAAAAGCTTTTGGGAAATGTCTTTTATCCTTCGTTTTACGTAATTGTAAATAATTTCATAAGTGAAAGTGTAAGGAACCTGTGTTCTAGTTAAAACAGACAGAATCCCTGCTACAGAAGTGTTTTCCACTTGTCAAGCTAACAGCCAGTGTAAAACCAACCCTCATGCATTTTTTATGTCCTTAAGTTTTGGATTTGTGATACACAGATAGATACTCTCATTGCTGATTGTGTCCTGTTTCAAGCAACATCCTTCTTGCTGCCTGAGGGCTCTGTTTTTATGTTTTATAGATCAAAATCATCCCAGCGTTTGATCTCACATGATATTCATAGTAATGTCTACAATTACAAAAGCACTTTCTCTGTGGAAATAGTCCCAATATGCAAGGTAGCTTCTCTCTATTTCATCTCCAGGGTGTTGTGTGGTGTGGGCAGGGTTTGGTTTTGATGATTTATTGTGCATTTGGGGGGATGGAGGGCTCTGCTCCCAGCAAAGCATGGCAAGATAGAATTCAAAACACAAACTTTAAAAAATTCACATTTCTCCAAAGGCTTGATGAAAAACTCAGGAGATACCTATGTCCATTACTTTCTCTTTGTGTGCAGGACAATGTTGTCTGTCTGTCACCAAAACTGGCACAGAGTCTTGGCAACATGAGCCAGATCTGTGTGTGCATCAGAGTAACAAGCACCATCCACCTCATTGATCCCAGCACTCTGCAGAGTAAGTCAGGGGTTGTTTTCTGCACTAGGGCAGCATCTTATTTTTCTGTCAGCACAGTTTGTTGCTTGTTTGTTTTAATGAAATCTTCTGGTTTTAGATCTGAATGTTGTAAATTGGCCTGTACAATAACTGACATAGAAATTTAATAGGGAACTAAGAGAGAGTTCCTCAAGTTTGATTTTCTTAGTGTCCTCGGCAAAATGTGCAGGCTCATTGTTAAGTTTCTGAGTGTTCTGGGTCTCTGTAGAGCACTTATATTTGTCAGGTATATTCATAGGATCCTTCTGGTTGGAAAACTTTAAGATCATCCTCTAAAATTACATGGCATGTAGTTTTCCTCTGCGTTATGATTCTAGCCACTCTGGTACCAGCAGCACTGTGCTCTGAGCATATTTTCTGGTAAGCTCTACCAGTAAAATAACTCTGATCAGAACACATCCAGGGGAATGATTCTTGTAAGTAAAAATGTGTCTGCTTTGGACATGTGGTTTGGCTGTTCCAGATCAACTGCTCCTGTAGCATGTGTTTGCAACGTGGGTCGTGTCCTAAATACTTGTGTCACAAAAGCAAACTTGAACAGAATATGTTTGGTGGTTCCCTTAATTTTGGCTGATGTTTCCTTTGAATTTCATTGCAAGAAGTTCTCTCCCTTGTCATTGCCCATGCTGCTGTTTTATTTCCAGTTGCTGAAATTGATGGAAATACCTACTGGCGTCACCCCTTCAATAGCCTGTTCCACCCCAAACAGCTGGAGGAGTTTATTGTTATGGATATCAACAGGGTGCACGAGAAGAAGAAAGGTGCAGGTGCAGGGGCAAGATCGAAGAAGGTAGGACTTCCTCTCTGTTTGATTCAGTATTTGGGTCCTTCCTCTCCCCTCCCTCCCCTACTCAGCTGAACTTCTGTTTGGATTCACTCCACCTTGCAAAGTCAGATGTAGGCTCTTCTGTGTTTTGCCACTGGCAAAAGCTCTTCTCAGGAAGGAGTGGTTTGGAGATTGCACAGGCATTGTGTGAATTCCATGTTGCTGAAGAGTTTGAACTCTACTTGTTGCTCTTGTTTTTGAAACTATTTTACATTAGCTTTGCAACTCTTCATTTTTTAGGTTGTTTTTATTGAAGTATGGAGGCATTTCTTTTTAATCAGAATGAATGATTCAGTGCCAAACATTTTCTTCTCAGTCAAAAGCTGTATGTGGTTGAGAGTTATGAGATAAATTCAGAAGTACCACCAAAAAACCTGTCTAGTTATAGAAACAGCCCCAGTGGAATTCTTGTTAAAGTGGTTGGTATGTCCATTTCTTTTTTGTAATGAGGAGTAGCAAACAATATGTTGGATACTTGGTACAGCAATACAAGTTTAATTACAAATGTAATTTAAAACAGCAATACAGCAGTGCAGATGTTCTCCAGCACAGTGAATTAAGCTGTGTGTGATTCCATGTGTTTTATTTTTCATTCCTCAATAATACAAGTTTAATTACAAATGTAATTTAAACCAGTAATACAGCAGTGCAGATGTTCTACAGCACAGTGAATTAAGCTGTGTTTGATTCCATGTGTTTTATTTTTCATTCCTCAAGCACACACTGGCTGAAGCCTGGGTGAAGAAAACCTCGGAGCTGAACACAGACCATCAGTATTTCTGCTGTACTCACTTGGGGCACATCCTGAATCCTGGCGACCTGGTCTTGGGGTCTGTTCTGTTTCTGGGGGTTTTATTAAATTATTACTTGAAGACTGAATTATCTGGATTCTCTACAGGCTTATGTATTATCAAAAAAAAATAATACATATTTTTGCAATAAGCGAAAGGGATAGAATCGTTCATCTTGGCACTGAAGAGATGGTCTTAATAGAGGAAATTGTCTTTTCTAGCAGAGTCATCTTGTGAAAAGGGCTGTTAGTAATAAGAGAGCTGAAGTACTGATTTTAGAGCATAGACTGGAATAGCTGTTTAAGCACAGAGAGATGGGGGGGATTCTTAAAATACCAGGCAAGGTCTTTTCATTTGATAGTGAGGATCCTATGCAGCAATGACAAACATGAGTTGTTTGTCAGATCAGGCAGATTAAGTGATTCTGAAACAGGTATAAACATGAATGTTATAGGAGCTGTTGTAAGCCCAGGAGAACCTCAGTGGAGGTGCCTCAGTGGGCTGGGGAGGCTGGGAGGTGCCACTGAACAGAATTTGGGAGCAGCAGCTTCTAAGAGCTGTTCATAATTATGACAGCTGCATATTGATCTGGGTATTTTATTTGCTCTGTGCTTTATCTTTCTTAGTGTCCTGGTTTGAGCCAGGATGAAGCCAATTTTCCTTTTTACTGATTGGCTTCATCCTGGCTCAAACCAGAACACTTAGGAGATGTAACCTGCACTGTGCTGCTCTTTAATTCAAACATGCAATACATTGAGTTCGGTTTTTTAGACTTAGAGAGAAGGTAGGATAAAAATCCCTGTTTTCGTTTCAGATTCGACTTGGCAAACTGCAACTTAAATGATGAGTTTGCCAATAAGATGAACCCACACACTATTCCTGATGTGGTAAGACCATTTTTTTCCTCTGTGTTACCCAAGGGTATTAGGGACTATGATTTTGTAATGAATCCTCACTAGTTCCATGGTGCCCAAAGGGGGAGGGGATATTAATGCTGAAATTTTAATAGCGTCTAATTTTGAGAATATTTTCTCAGTACTTACATTTTTGAATGGTGGTTAAACAACACATTTACTGTAACATACCTTACTCTCTGTTGGTTTTGTTCAAATTACCATGCACTGTGTGGTGAAACCTGCATTCCATACAACTCCAGTGTGTGTGTCCTTTTCAGGACATAATCCAAAGTGTTTGGAAACAAAGGCTATGTAGATTCTGTGGAAAACCCCCAAGTGCCAGACTGTGAATCTGCTACTATTTGTTCAGCTGATTTTACAGTTGCCTAAGTGTAGCCTTGGGTGTTGTTTTGGATGTTGCAGGAGTCATGAGTGGCATTGAAGGAGGGGGTGTGTAAATCTGTGCTGGGTTTCCCTGCAGGTGTTAATAAAGAAGAGCTACGACCGTACCAAGCGTCAGCGGCGCAGGAACTGGAAGCTGAAGGAACTGGAAAGGGACAGGGAAGGCACGGACACAGATGATGAAAGGTTCAGTATCTGCCATGGAGCTTTTCAGGCCCTCCTGCCTAGGCTGCTGGTCCAAGTCTAGAAATAACATTTCTCAGCTTCTGCTGAGGGTGAACCCAGTGTGGGGGCCAAAGCTGAGGTGCTGAGGGGGCACAGGCAGATGTTGCTGGTTCTGTTTGAGCCTGACACTGCCTCAGGGAGAGGTTCATACCAGTGTTCTCTCTCTGCCTGTTTCCTCTTCACTATTGCAGGAGGTGCTTTCAGCATGTGCACCTTCCTTGTGCTAATTTTATCTTGACTGCTAAGTTTTCAGTGAACATGAATACTGAGGACAATGAGGCAGGGGTGTGTGGAAGCAGGCTAATTCCTGAAATCTTAAGACAACACTGCAGACTGTCCTGCTTTACTATTGCAAAATATTAAAGCAACTTTTAATGTTTTCTTCAAGAAAAGGTCAAATTATGAGACAAGTGAGTAGCACTGGAAGCATTGTGTCTGTAGCTTGCAGTTAGTGCCTGTCTAGCTACAGGGACATTTCTGTGAAACCATGTTTGTCACTGGTTTGTGGAGTGACAGAGCTGATACAGCAACAGCAGATTCTAAATAATGAAATAACTGAGTAGAAAAAACAAGGCAATTAGTTAAATGAAGACAGGCAACTAAAATATTTTGGAAACTACTATGTGCTGGTAAAACAAAGCAGAAAGACTGACTTGGAAATGTAGAAATGGTATCAGAAGGCAGGACTGACAGACTGCAGATTGCAGTCCTTCCTTGGGGCTTGCTTTCTTTGATTTCACTTTGGTTCATAAATTTGCATAAATCCAAAGGAGAAGTGAGTAAAGGCAGGAACCATCTTTTACAGACAATACCAGGACTTCCTTGAAGATCTCGAAGAAGATGAAGCCATAAGGAAGAATGTCAACATTTACAGAAGTAAGGACCCTTTAGCCACTTAATGTCATGTAACTAAATCATTACTATTTGAAAAAATGTTTTGGATTAATTGAACTACCCATGCCTAGAGAAATGCTGTCATGTAATAACTTCAGGTATTCAGTGTATTTCACATGCACTGAGTGGATGTTGATGGGTTTTTTGTGCTTGCCTTTAACATGAGAGAGAAACATTTTCTCCTACACCCAACAACTCTGCTGGGAGAAGGAATTGATACATAATTTAGCATCTTCCATGAGGACAATGGCCGTAGGTCTGTTGGTCTTTAGGGGAGGGATTTGTTTGCTTTTTGGTTTTGTGGTTTATTGGTTGGTTTGAGGGGGTTTTTTCCCCCTTCCTTCATTGGGGTTTTTCAGGGTGGTTTGGGTTTGTTCTTTTTGCTTAGCTGTTTGGGTTTTTCTCTTACTGCTTTTTTAGATGCAGATATTCCAGTGGAGAGTGACACAGATGATGATGGAACCCCACGAATCAGTCTGGCTGAAATGCTTGAGGATCTCCATATTTCCCAGGATGCCACTGGTGGGGAGGGAGCCAATATGATGACAGAATAATTCATTCATGCAATCAGTATTCCTTTGGTGAGGAAAAAATATCTAAAACGTTAATGATCACATGAATGTGAAAAGTGATGTGATAACTACCACTGTACCTCTTAATAATGGGCCTGAATTCATAATTTATATATAATCTACAGCAATTAAAGTTAAATTTCTGGTGCAAGCTTTGCAATGTAAGTTTCAGAAGTTCCTCCCATCCCTGAGTCCTCTCTCCTTGCAACTTCTGCAGTGTAAAGACCAACTGACAAACTTCAGGGCTGTGTTTTGGAAGTAGTAATTGTGTTGTGCTGAAGACAGCTGATAAGAAAGGATGTCCAGAGGGAGAGATTTGTCTCTGGTTTGCTTGATTTGTAGGTAGAACACCGACCTACTGCTTCTTGCTTTCATTTCTTCACATGGGAAGGATTTTTCCTTGCCTAATCTTTTGGGTACAATGATTTGACTTTTATTATATTGCTGGATTATTCCATATAAAAATATTTGGGGGAAACTCAAGAATGTATGTGTCTTCTGTTCCTTGGTAAGGGAACCCCAAATACACATGTACACAAAAAAAACCTTCCTGTAAATTCATCAGAAAGACTGGAAATTTCTGTTCACTTTAGTAAATATTGTACTCTATTCCATGCCTGTATTAGTGGATCACAAGCAATCTACATAATGTCTAATTAGTACACTAAGTATGAGCTATTAAAAAACTATACAGTGATTGTTGGTCCATCATTATTTAGTTAACTTCATCAAATTTCTCTACTGCAAGTCCAGAGAGGACAGAAGTGGTGCAGGAGGACATTACATACTTAGATTCATCTGGTTTTAATAGGCTTTAATGCACAAAGGTGGTTCAACAGAAATTTTACTAAGAGTTTATGTGCATATGTATTTGTTTTAACTATAAATGTGGAGGCAGAGCACAGCAGGAGTGGGTTCTGCCACTGCCTGTTTTCTACCTCAGGAAAAAAATGTTCAAAATAAATGGCATGTGTAAAGGAGGGAAATACTGATTATAGAAAGTTGGGGAAAAGAGATGGGTAGGATTAATCTAGCAGTGTGTTAATGACTCCTGTATCAAGGATCTGTATAGCTCAAATGATGTGGTTTGCCAGTGTGTGCTTGTAAGAAATACACAGGGCTGAAAATTCCCTCTTTCTCTATAGCATCAGCTGAGGAGGTGTTGGCAGCACCTCTTTCCATTTCACTGTACTTTGCAGCTTCCCAGGGCCTTATTTATGCTCCCAGTGAAAAGAGCATAAATAATGAGGGAGGCAGCATGTGCAGCCCAGTGCCAGCTGATCCACTTCTGCCTTACTCTTTAGTTTGCATGTCATCTTGTGACAAAGTGTTTCCAAACAGGTGTGAAGCTGCTGGATTTCAGGCTTGCTGCCCAAGCCCAGGCCAGATGCCATAGAAGGCAAAGGGGTTTTTGATAGTCAAAGGTGGAGCCAGGTTTAGTTACCAGTTACTCATGTTTTCTTTTTCTTCTGTCTCACAGTCTTGTAATCAGCCCCTTGTGAAGGGGAAAAATGGCAGTTTGGAACTGCAGTTTGGTTGCAATGAAGCTCTGAGCTGTCTGCTGGCATTGGTAGCAGCTCAGCCATCCCATAGTGCCATTTTTTACTGTGCATTTGTGTCACGCTAAGCTCTTCTGCTTCCACTTGCAGGAGCTTTGACAATTTTTACCACGTAGAAGAGCAGTTAAGAAAAATCCATAAAGGTGCTGAGAACTGAAGGTGCAATTTATCTCAGGACAGTTATTTAGTTCAGTGCAGGGAACGCACAAAATCGTGCTTAAAAATACTCATGAGAAAGCAGCTGCAAAGCTAATCTGAATTATCCCTACAAGAAAAGCATTTTATTATACATATTTTACAGTAGCTACACCTGCCAGTAGTGCTGGGGAGATGCAGATAAACTAAATTCTAGTGACCATTGGGCCAACTCTACGGAAATGGAAGGACTTGAAGGTGTATGCATTCTGTGTCTGGGTGCATTCTGGGGCATGATTTTTCTGACAGTGGTAAAAATGATCAAGCCTTCATCTTGTCTAGTTTGGTAATGAGCTTCCCATTGTTGGGAGGTGAAGAGAGAACTGTAATAAAAGCTTGTTTTAAGCTGTGCTGGTTTTGATCAACCCTTTTCCATACTCTTTAGTGTCTCAGTAATTCCAGATGTGTTGCTGTCTTGGCTGCCACCCTGTTTGTTACTGGAGATCTCCCTCTTCCTTTTCCTCTCCCTCCGCAGTCTCTTGTGAGTCTGTGTTAGGTTTCAGGCATCTTTCAGCAACAGCCTGGGCTGGAAAGATCTCGTGCTACAGATGCTCAGCAAAGAGGTAATCAAGCTAAGTATATTGCTTGGCTTTTTGTCTATTTGTTTACTAGCTGGTAACACACAGTAACAGCTCTCTAGTGAGTGGGTAAGCTGCATGTCCTTGAAGCCAAAGTTAGTTCTAATTTTAGGTTCTGGAGTTTACAAAGTCCCTTTGACATTTAAACAGTTGGGAGCCAGGACAGGCTTAGGTGGTGTACCAGCAAATGAAGTATTTGAGGAGGTCTTCTCACTGACAGCAGGTAAGTAATTTGACAAAGGGTACTTCACTCACAATAGATAAAAGGCTGCCACCCATCCTGTGTCTCCTGAAAATCTGTGGATTGATCCACAGCTTAAAGCTTCTCTCCTCTGGTACCTAGAGGAGTCGCTCCAATCGTAACTGTTAGTGATTCATTTACACCCAGATTTTGGTAAGTTTTTAATTGGAAGAGTTCAAGTGTAACGTCCCAGTAGTTTTCTTGGCGAAGAGTGGGAGTTGCTTTAGAGATGGGAACACATGTCCATGTGTGGGCACCAGGCTTGGCAGGGAGTGCCACGTAAAAACAATGAGTGCAGTCCCTTGGGAATAGTAACACAGATGTAAGAGGGCTCTCTGAAGTGCTTAAATTTGAAGAGTAAACATGTAAACTAGAAGGAAAACTAAAAAGAAGGAGTACTTTTTAAGCTGTGTGTTTTTTTCTTTCAAAAAGGCAGCACAGCCCTCTCAGGAGATTGTGTTTCAGCAAAGAAGAGAAGTTTTGTCCTTCAGAACAGCCAACATTTTGTTCTTTCAGAAGCAAGGCTCTTACAGGGAGAAACCAAATAAGGCTTCTACCAGCCTTTCAGCCCTGTCACATGAACCTCCCTGGCTAGCAGTGGTAGGAAGAAGTAGTTACTTAACCTAATAGGGTTTCACTTATTTTACCCCCCACAGTGAATTACTGAGGAAAAGAAAGGAAAGAAAACACAAGATCGGATCTAAACTTGGTGGGGTTTTAGTGCTGAATTTCCATTTTGGTTAATGGTGAATCATTTCATTGCTCCATCTGCAACCAAGCTGCTGAGACTCTGATGTGGGTAACTACTCTTGGACAAACTAGTTGTTCTTGTAATTGAAACGTTCTCAGCATGGAAGAAAAAGTGTTGGGTGTGAATCTTTCTAGGAGTGACCACTTTGCTTGACAGGCTGCCATGTCTTGGCGAGAGGCACGGGTCTCACTTGGGTCAGGAGGCACCTGCAGGGGCAGGTGCTTGGCCTTCTGTAGAAGATTCCATAGAAAAGCTCAGATGTGCCTGTGATGAATGTGACAGTCCACCTGATGTCACTATTCCTTTATGTTACTGGCCCTAAAACAATCTGTTCAGCTCTTCTAAAGACAGGGTGGCCATAAGCTCTGAAAAGCTCGTTAATGTCAATGCAGTTCTTATATTCATTTAAGTTTAAAATAACAGCAACCTAAGGAAAAAAATGAGACAGAAGCTGCTTTAATCCTGATGTTGAAGGACTTACTCCCAGCAAACTGCTCCTTTTGCCAGCAGATCCATCTCCACGTAGGCTTTTCCAGGGACACTTATTTTAACTACATTCTCCCAGGACAGTTAAACATAAGGGTAAGACTCCTGTTAGGTTTCAGAGGGGATTTGGTAATGTTTGCTGTAGTTCATTTCACAACATAATCACGTAGCAAAGACTATTATTGCCTTCAGAATTTAGCAACGTTTTCTGTACTTTGTTGTAAGCCCAGGATAGGATCATAGTTAGGGCATGAAAGAAACAGGAGAGGATTTCAGTTTCAGGATGGAAACCAAAGCATAATTGTCAAGGAAGAGAAGTGCCTTTGTGTAGTTTGAATATTCAGCTTTATAAAAGGAAACCACAATGTGTGACACAAACCCACAACTAACATACCTTTTCACATCAACTAAGGAAATGTTTCAGACGTGCCAAGGACTGAAAATGCTTGAAAGACCATTTGAAAATAATCAGTGACAAATCTGGTAAGATAGAAGGAAATTATTTAAGCTGTGCATTTTTTGGCAGGTTGTTTTCATATCAGTTAGCATGGTGAGACTTCATGTTGCATGGGCTGTAGCAATTATGATTAGCATAACACTTTTGTTATTATTGTAGGTCTTTTTTAAGTTATATAATTTTTTTGGGTGGATCTGAGATTAAAAGGGCTGCAATTTTTAACCATAGCCCTGCTGAAATGAACTTGTGTTCCTGTATGGGACCCTGACATATTTGAGTATGAATACAGCAGGAGAGAAAACCTTGAAAGTATTTTTGGAGCCCTAGATTTGTTTTAGTCTTTTCCTTAAAAGGCAAATGATCATATTGAAAATAATCCAGAATTTGGTCCTTTAGGAGCCTTGAGTCCCCAGGTACTTTGTGTTGGCCTGTCTAGACCTGAGGTTCCTAGATGGAAGGCTCTGTCAGACGTGGGTGAGCAGGTTCCCAGCTCAGCAGTTTGTCCCAAAGCCAAGGATGAGCAGAAGCTGGTGACACTGAGAAGGGAGATGTGGAGCCAGCCAGGTGGAAGTGCTCCTACAAGCACTGATGAGAGAGCAGTGGCACCAGGATGCTTCAGCCAGCTCTTGGAGGCCTCTCAGCCTTCCAGGATCTCTGGGGCACTGGTGTCTGTTCCCGTAGTCATGTGCTGAGCTCCTGCTCTAGCAGGTGGTTG